GTTGTATTGATGTATAGCAACTTGAAATGCTCCCACAAATGGCACTACAGCATGTAAAAAAAAATATATATATAAGCTCTGGTGGACTTGGTTCTATAGTAGGTCTTAAAGGGTTAAATAAATATCGTCAAATAATCGTGATCTCAATTTCAGTGAAAATAATCGTGATCATCATTTTTGCCATAATCGAGCAGCCCTACAACAAAATGTATTCTTCTGCTGAATGATAGGTGCCGTCACTCAGAAAAACACTCATCAATGCATTAATTTTTTGTAGGGATACACCTGCTCTCTCTGTAGATGGTTCCAGTGCAGATAGCTGTGATTTTCACATTTACACCCACGTGTAGATGCACACAGCCCACACCAAAGCAACTGCCTTCTCTAAGGCTGATGAGCAGTGTGGCACAGATTCATTTATGAAGCTGCTCATTTAAAAAAGTCACTCTTGGAAAAAAGAATCAGATTAATCTCACCAAATCAACGCCGTATAGGCCAAGTCCTGCTTTTCTGTCCTTCAAGCTCAGAGGAATTCCTCTCATTGGCTTGCCTCAGCGAAAGGAGGAAAAGGCAAGGCAGGAAATTCTTTGGGAAAAACGGCACTTCCCTCAGTTCTTTTGTCCGTCCATGGTTATCTGCTGCTGATGTGGGAGAGGTCGCGCACTACTGACGAGTAATGCCAACTGATTGATCACCGTGAATCACTAACATGTACCAGGAGCAACCAATACTGGGTTCAGCATACTGTTGAATGGGTCCGTTTGACTGTGTCTTAAAGAAGAAAAGACTGAATTGTGACAGATGTGTCTGGCCATATTAGTTAAACTGCCGGAAAAGATAAACGTTTCTCAGTTTTCAGGCGAGTGACTGAAGCAACTGTCAATGAGAGTGAATACTGGTCATGGACATATGAGCTGATGCTAAGTACATTAGGAGGTTACATAGGCAAGAGGAACCTGGGCTTTAAAACAGGAGTTCACAAAACCAACTGGTGATGTTGCTGTAGCTATATCAGTCTGTAATACTCTCTGTTTGCGCGACAAGCAAATCAGCTTCCACTATGCATGAAAATTAGCAAAAGTGAGGCGAACAAAAGCATGTTGATTACTGCTGTAACATTAGAAATGTGACATGGTACCTATTTCAGCATTGAAAAATATCAAATATCCCAATACCCAAAGTGAAACCTGAATATCTGCCAAACAAATAGGCCTATAACCAAATCTTAGACATATGTCTGGGATAGAAATGTGTCAATCACTGTTGAACTGATTGTGCACAATTTTAAATTGTCTGAAGTAGATGAATCCTTTCAGACTTGAGTTATATTCCATGTTTTCCTCTAGCTCCATCATGATGGAAATCTGATTCTGGAAATCTGATCCTTTCCAGTGCTGCTAAAAAGTCCAAGTCTTCCCCCATCTAGAGAAATAACACAACATCTGCTGTGTAATTGCCACACAGTTTTGTGCCATTCACAGTCTATGATTATGTCAGGTGATCACCTGAAATTTGGTGCACGCATATTTATCGTTCCCTCAGAATGAGTCGTAAGCACTGCAAAAGTCTGTTATCAGGTCAGGGTGTGTTTGTTTGTGTGTTCATTCGTCATTAACCAAACTACCAAAAGAGCACAACAGCAGTCTGACAATAGGGATGGCATGCTAGTATTAGCTCAAAGCGCTGATTAGTCTGCAGTAAATACAGCCTCTCATACACTGCATGCTACCAGTGATTATTGTAATATTAGTAATAATTCACTGTGATGCATTTCTGGCATCTGAGAAGAAAGTTTTAGTGGTTTTGGTTGAAATTTTGTGTGAAGATTAATTATGAAAGTAGTTGGTGTTTTGTTTGACTAATAAATCGACTCATTGCAGTTCTAAGAAAGATGAGTAGGATCCCACAGTATGTTGTCAAAACAGTGTTATCTGCAAGACAAATTATTTTACCATGACCTTTGGAAATCTATTAGACTACTGCAGGAGATCATCTAACCCTTTACTGCATCTGGTATCCAGGACCTCAAACGCCCCCAGCTGTCCTAAACATCCCAGCAGGAATCTGTAGCCAAAAGCTCTAAAAAGGAGCTGATTTCAGTCTCTGTCAATTGAGTGCCAATACAGTGAAGCCCTGTGTGGGGGTAGGCACACACTTGTTCTGGAAGCACATGTGTTTGTTAGCAGGAGAGTGTGTGTTGGCACCCAGGGACAAAGAGATCATTATCCATGTAGCGTAGGGGGAAGAGTGCATGGTCAAACGCTGGAACACTTATTCTCTGGAGCGCTGTCATATGTGCAAGCCTCCTTCCCAGGTCATATGAGGAGCAGTGTGGTGAGAAAGAGTTTGGGAGTTATGTAGATAAATGTGTTGCTGCAGTGTGTGTTGGGTGGGTGGGGGTCAACATATGTCAGCTGTAGAGTCAGTTAGTCCTTTATGGTGGTAAATGGTGTCTTTTAAAGTTAATTGTTGAAAGTCTTAGGGGGGAACTGGAGAAGGTTTTTAAAACACAGACCCCTGCTGCTTCACCTATTTACCTCGTGTCTTTGTTATGTACATGTGCAGACTGCGGCACCACAGATAGAGACATCTGACCGTGTTATTTTTTAAAAATAACAAAGTTTCTTGATGAAACACCTTTTTTTTTTTTTTTTTTTTATACTCCTCAGGTCTTAATGGGACATGTTTAAATAAGAGGCTGCTTGTAACAGGCTTCTCAGGTGACCCTCATCTCTCTGCAGATGATACTCACCACCAGCCCGGGGCTCTACTGCAGGGTGTCTAATTCGCATCTGCATCACAAGACTGCATGTTTACAGCATCAGACACCTGATTCAGCTGAAGTATCAGTACAAATGAGACAAAGAGGCCAGCAGTACCCTGTGTATTCCCTTTTACTAGAAGTTTGGCTGTAGCCTTTAACCTTTAGTTATCAAAACAGTTCTAACAGTGATGCTGTCTGTCATGTTTGATGCTGTCTAATGGGACCTACTGTATTTTATTGTTGCAGTTATTCTGACCTGTAGCTATAAGATTCCCCATTCCTTTTAAGTTTTTAAGTTCTCTTGTAACTGTAAATGCAATCTTAACAGTTCCCCACCTCCTTACTTTCCCAAAGATCTGAGTAATGCAGCATTTTATTATTTTAATTATTTGTTCAGTGATCTACTGAAACATTTGGTCTCTGCTGTAGACATAGAAAATATTCATGTAAGAAACAATAACCTTTTTTTTAGCCGCATTAGCAGCAAAGCCTAAACACATGCTGATCCGATACACTGGATAAGTACCTATACTTAGTCGCCCATTTGGCTAATACAAGATGTGCAACCCCTAATTTACCTTATAAATTAGTCTACTGTTGCCAGCTTGAAAAAAGAATACAGAACCAGACAGATTTTCTAACTTTAAACATTTTATATGTTCAGCTTGTACCGTTTCAGTTAAGTCCGTTAATAAAAGAGAGTCGACTAGTTCCTTATTTGTTGTGTATGAACAATGTTAACTCTGTTTTGTTGCTGGTATAAACAGTAAAGTAGGAAGTAAACTTTCTTGTCTCTCTCTTTGTCACCCACTGTGTGTGCAGAAATGCACTTAGGCCAAAACGCTTTGCTGTTCTGTCTGTGAAGGTTCTCAGTCATCCAGGTCATTGTAGTCTAAAGAGCTGGAAAGAAAAGCGTCTGGACTTTAAGTTTCCTTGAAGACGTTTCGCCTCTCATCTGAGAAGCTTCCTCAGTTCTAAGAGCAACTGGTGGAGAGTCTGCAAGAGGGTCATGGACCCCCTATTGATCCTCCACCTAATCACACAAGCCAAGGTGTGAAAATGGGTGTGGGTCACAATCAGCCAAGGCTTTGAGTGAACTCATTGTGAAACCTAGCCCCACCCTATCATGTGAATACTGAGGTTTGCTGTTCTGTTCTTCATTATAACCGCTGTAGCAGACTGATAGTGCTACATGAATCAGCATTACTGATTTCTGTTTTATAATGTAATAAGAGTCTTGCTTTATTGTAACATACTGCTGCACAGTATGTTACACTACAAGAGCAAAATGATGAGTGCTAGACTGAAATAACTGAAGATTTTATGGTCACTCTAGTAATGTAGCTCTACTGGCTTGGTTACTCCACCACCTTGGTAAACAGTCAGTGTCAGCACCTATGGTGATTTCCTGACTTTCGTACTGGTGCCACAAGGTTCGTGCTTGTAGTTAAACAGTATAAGGTAGTTTTGTTTATGTCGTACTGGAGTTCACTCAAAGTTCATAAACCTGTTTTGAGAATTCTTGTGGTCTTTTGAGTCATATTTCGTCGTATTTGCTTCTTTAAAGAATTTCATTTACTTCTTTTTTGTTATTGGATCCTTTAGAAACCCACTTTGCCAGATCTCTTTACAGTTTCATCTTATGTGTTAGATTTAATGTTGACTGATGGGTTTTTGGCTGGAGACAGTTTGAAGAAAGGGGTTGAAAATCAGGAGGTGAGTTTATCATAGTAATGATTTAACATGATTGCATGTCCAGTACTGTTTTAGAGGACTGAGGTTGCTGACAGCTGCTGCTGTGAAGGCTGCAAAACCAATCCTGATACGGATATCAAATAGTACACAGAAAAGCACTCAAGCACAAGCTGTGAGGAAGCTGTTGCTTTGCACCTGTTGTGCTGAGATGTTGGATAACTTTGATAATGAACAGAAGACAGACTCTGTGCTTTGTTTCCTATTTGTATTAATAGTATTAGTATCGCCCAGATTGTTATCAAGTACACACAGATGCAACATTTAGTCCACACAGCTCTATTTCATTCTTCTCTTTCAGGCAATGATTGCTTGACTGGCTAAGGAAGCTGACCGCTCACATGCATGTGTGACATTTTTTCCTCCTGATGCTGTCATAAACAAATCATCAGTGGATGTTCTCGTGCTTACAGTAGCTTACAGTGCTCTTGTTAATGTCAGTGCTGTGGTAATAAATATCTGTTTTCACTGTGTCAATCTGCAGAGGTACATCGCCTTGGAAGACTCCCAGGATGGCGAGAAGAAGGATCTCCAGTGTCGACTGGTGACGTTGGAATCTCACACACGGCAGCTAGAGCTAAAAACTAGAAACTATGCAGATCAGAGTAAGTTGAATTTGCGTTTTATCTGTAACGACACACACACACACACACACCCTGTGAACAGCATCCACAGTTTGAAGCTTTTGTGAATGTTTATTTTCCTGATGTGCCACAGGGCAAAAAGACCACCTGAATGAAGCCTATTAGTGACATACTGTGAAGTGCTTAACTTACTAAATGAGCTCCAATAGAGTACGTTTAAAGCCCAGGAAAGTTTTACTGGGCTTTGATCTAAAAAAATAATATATTTTAGATGTGATATAATAAGTTCATTTCTGAAGTAGTACTTAAGAACGATACCATCCCTCACAGTGTGGGAGCCTTTCAAAGGCATGAAAAAAAACAAAACCCTTCATGATGTGGGCATTACTCCACTGGTGACATAGTGTGTCACTGTCTGTTTGGTCCACCACAGTATCGCAGCACATTCCTCTTCTTCCATGCTCAGGGGAAATTTGCGAATTCTCAGCAAATCTCTTTTTAATTCTTTCGATCTGACGCTTCCTCTTTTTTCTGGTTATGTCATTGTGCCAGTTTCATTTAGTCTGTAATTTATGTTCATGGTCAGAATTGGCAGCAGAGAGAACTGCATCACTGCACTGTGTTCCTGTCAGTGGAAACACGTCTGTGTAAAGCGCACCAAATTTAGCTCCAAGCTCTAATTGGATAATGTGTTTTGACAACAAGACATTTGTTATCAGGAGTTTTCATGTTTATATTATTTCCTGGCACATAACAGGCCTTAATAGGCATGACGACGTTTGACTAAATGACATCTGAATTGGAAAACTGATTTAAAAATCTGACTTTTTATGTAGAAAACTGTGAATTCATGTAGACTATGTGCAAATTCTGACACACAAGTGAGCCAGATTTTAACACAAGTCACGATCAGAACCAGATCAAGTCTTGTTTTATTTGTGAGAGGATTAATTGTTTGCATGTGGGGCTTTCCTTAACAATCACACTGTTTTGTGAACACACCTGTAAATAACACCGCAGTTATTTCTGCTGCACTCTTTCACATCTACTTCCTCTATGAGCCCCCTCAAAAAAACCCAAACTAAATCACAGTTTTCCCCACAATATGCAGCTGCTCTGGTGCTCGTCATTGCTAACGTGCATGTTGATTCTCAAGAATTCTCGAATCAAGCTTTGCTAAACATCTGCGGATTTGAAACTTTGTGCATGTTCAAGGCAGAGGGTGCTGCTAGTACTCAGGCTTCTGCAAACCTTTAGGGCCACCTTTGACGGAGTGCACTTGCATGGCTGGAATCTGAATAACACAGTAATCTACTGCCCGACTGTTTGGCCCTGAATGAGCAGGGCCACCTGAGAGCCACAAACACTGGAATCAGTAAGTTGTCCTCAACTGGCTGGATAGAACTCAGAGCAATGTTTATGTGTTTATTTATTTTTTACTAATTATAAAGATGCATCATTTCCATTCTTATTCCTTGAAGTTCCTTTAGCTTTTGTCAGACATGGATACAGCTACTGCAGACCTCTTTCTGTTAAAATCTGTGTTTAATATGAAGGTGTAAACAGTCATGATGCTAACAGGTTCATCTCCATGACACTGACAGTAGTTGCACTATATTGTCTATGAATGAGGTTTTAGATCTAGCGACATCTGACGCACAACTCGGCCTTCTTAATAAAGGTAATCTATTTTTATAATTAAAGTCAAGTTCTACATTTACTTCGTTAGCACACTGATACACACTTAAGTAGATATATCAAATATTAAATTTAGGCTTATACGTAAAGTTTATTAATTTCTATGAGTTACATTGAAAACTTATTCCAGCTTCTAAACTGTGACTGTGCCTGAAAGCTCAACTCTAAGGATTACAGTGTCATTTGCTGTTAGATCAGCCCTGTAGTAAAAACTCAGAAGAAAGACTCCAAAAAAAAATGAAATAAAACTACAAACAGCTGGAATCAGCAGCATTTGTCTTTTATCCAACTGAGCTACTCAACATGCAGGAGATACACATTCAGAGTGATGATGATTTTTTTATTTTTATTAATTTCATTATTATTTTTAGTAGTGGAAAAGCAAAAAGGATGCCTTTTGGACTTGATGTTGGGTATTCAGAGCTGTGGGTACATCTGCCCCCAGTTCTTTGGTGGCACTCGGGAGGATTTTGTTGGTGCATGGCAGCCCTCTTCTGGCTCTGAGATATTACTGCAGCAGATAACTGTATCATGCTCAGTGACATAACATGTAAAAACATTGGATTTTCCACTCTCATAGAGTCTAGTCTTTCAGTATTTTCAGTAAAATTGGTTCTAGTCCTGTTCCTGTTTTCATTATATGAACTTTGTTTCTTATCCAGTTAGCAGATTGGAGGAGAGAGAAGCAGAGCTCAAAAAAGAGTACAATGCCCTTCATCAGAGACACACTGAGGTAAGAGTGTGAGGAGATGTTTGTATGGATGCTTTTACAGTAAGCTGTGGGGAAAAAATCTGTAATATTATTATTTATATATAACATTCAAAGCATATAAATAAAGAATAAGTGAAAACGTGCTGGGATAAGCAGCCAAGAAACTCCATATGGTTTCCATATCCTTAAGATTTGATTGGTTGATAGCTGTTTTCTGTATTTTAGTCATTTTTAAGATCAGATTATTTTGCAGTGTAATGATATTAAATATGTCTCATTATCCCAAAAAACATCAAAAGTAACAGGTTATAATCTCAGCATGACAGAATGTTTCACTGAACTAATGTGTATGTCTGTGTGTACATTTAACATATGCTGTTCTTTACCTGCATATTCAAGTTTATAAGGTTATTCATGTGCATTCATGTGTGGGGAGGACTTACCTGTGACCACACAGTGGAGTGTTTTCAAACACCGTGATAAGTAATGGATCATAAGTAACTGCACATCAAAAGTCGAGCCTTTTCTTTTTTTTCAGGAGACCATCAAGAATCAGTTTGAGTCTTAAATGGAAAAACAAATGTAACAACAAATTGTTGAGGAAAAGAAGAAAAAGAATGATTTTAAACATGAAGAATCTGACTGTAAATGAGGTTTTTGCTGAGCCCTCAGTCTGTCCCTGTCTGTTGTTCATTATTTATCACTAACTGTTGCCTCTATGTCCAAATAAACCTCTGAGGCCTCAGCAGCCAACTGCTAATCTGAATAATGTTGAACAGGGGAGATGAAAGCCTAATGAAGGCTGTCACCTACACACTGCATCAACATGGTTCTTTGTAAGGCTGACTGTCACAGCTGTGGACCCAAAGCACTTCATATTCATTAGTGCAGTTTGTATCAGTGAGATCACTTCATGTCCTAACGATCGTCTCGCTTGTATATCTTTTAGATGATCCACAGCTACATGGAGCATCTGGAGCGGACTAAACACCAACATGCAGCGATGACAGCAGAGCCCTCAGATACAGGAACATCAGTCAGGACACGGTTAGACAACCGCACTGTTTTTCTTTTTTTTTTTTTTCTCCTCTTTTCTTTTCTTGTTTCATATTATAGTTGGAGACAGTTGGGTACCTTCAATATCTGAACCAGCACAGGTACCTGAGAGTCCATATTTCACATTTGAGACTTTTTATTTATTGAAAACTTTTTACCTTCTTCACCACAGGGATGTAATAAAAAGGAAGTTCAAACAGTCAGGCTTAAAAAACCCCCAAAATCCCAGTAGGAGATAATTGGTGTCACGGTGATGATTACCAACTTTCTCTGTTAACCCGGGCTTTCTGCTTTGGGCTCTGCATGTGCTCACCCACAAATGGGCAATGAATGCCTCCTATTACTCTGCAAAATGATCATTAGGAGTGTTGCCTACTCGAGCCACACATGTTGTAACAAGGTGATGCTGATGAAATTGTGATTTTTATTTTTTTTTAACATTTTCTATAAAATCTATTTTAAAAAAATAACCGTATTACGACACAGCAGCACTGTTGCAAAACAGACAAGAAGTCATTGAGATTAGTTAATATTGGTGTTTAGCAGTGAACATGAGCAGTGAAATAGCAGCTTACTATTTTAACGCTGAGTGTGTTCTCGGCGCTGCTGTTTATTTCTCAGGTGAAAGGCGTACATGAGAGTTCTGACACTTTAAACTGGATTCATTAAAAACGGTGAAGGTTACAGTCACACAGCCCACTAAAGACGTGGAAATGTAAAATGTATTTTATGTATTGGACAAGTATTGTGTGTGTGTGTGTGTGTGTGTGTGTGCGCGCTGTTATTCCAGTGATGTAAAAGAGACTTGGAACCAAGTACAACAGCATTTATATTTTCTGCATCATCATCTCAAACAGTGGGAGTGCACAGTTTGTGCTGCTGTAACTTTACAGCTTCATGTTAGTAAGGTCCAGCTTAACAATTTGCACATTTAAGATGATTTTTTTTTTTACCCAGCAGAGAGTCTTCCTTGCACTTACAACATGCTGTAAACATGGTGAGTCCATGCTGTTAACTGTTAAGTTAAAACATTTACAAGCAGTAAACAGTCCAATTCCTGTGATAACTTATCCCGCTACAGGATTGGAAGCTATCGCTGCCTCTCTAAAAGCTTCATCATCACCATCATCCTCAAATAAGTGCAAAATTTAGCCTGTAGTCCTTCTGTGAATTTGACATTCATGCTGTCAGATGTGGTACATTCAATTTTGACAAGTGTTTGGTTGTCCAGATATTTCCTCAGATTAGACGTGTTTCCATAACCAGCTTTGCATTTTGATCTACAAACATCTGCGTCAAAATTTGAAAAGTGTAGCCATAAAAGTTGAAACACTACTTTCGACCCACCATTGTGGGAGGTGGAGTGCTAAATTATCCGCTAAATTAGTTTTTTTCCCTCTTTTCTTGACTTTGTATGATGTTATTTATAACACAACAGATATTACTGTGCTCATCATTAAGAGTACAGGGGAAGTTGTCAAATGACAGCCTCACTTGTACCCTTAATGATGGTTTTGACACCTCAGTGTATATCAATAAAAACTTTGATGACCATTTGAATAGAATCAAGGGTAGCTGCATAGGCAGAGGCTGCTCATTTCAGAAAAGAGCCTCAAAGGTTACAGCTAGTAGCTTTTCAAGAGATAAAGGGTTAATCTGGGCAGCTCGTGCACACATCTCTGTCCAGAAGCCCCACCCACCTCCTGTTCAAACTTTCTCTTTACAAAGGGCAGCCAATCAGAGAGCAGTTGGCTTAAAGTGAAGGGGCATATATACAATAAGGATTATTATGAAGAGCTAATCACACAAAGCTGCTCTAGCGGAGTCCAGGACTTAAACTATTGAGCTGAAAATGAGCAGAATAAGATGCCTACAACATCAGCATGAAGCATGTTAGCCTTGTGACATTAGCGTTTAGCTCAACCTAACATGACTGTGCTCAAATAACTGAACATGCAACACGTTCCAGGCACAGATGCATACAGATTGCTATACTGAGCTTACATATATAATCTAAATGTAGTAATCTAATTTTATTATAACTTGGACTTGAACTTTGGACTCAAACCTGGGCTGCTGCTTTGTGGCCACACAGCCTGTAGTCACCTGAACACCCACTGAGCTAAACTGAAGGCCCCCCCCATATTTTTTTTTCGTCCAGCATTTTTTACTGTTGACAAAATTTAACATTAGATACCTGATGCATTCAGTGAATGCAGTTTCTCACTCACACCCTCGCATGCAGATGCACGCACTCTCTCACACACACACACACACACACACACACACACACACACGCTCGTTTTGATCAGTCTCCTCATTATGCAGCCAGTAAGCTGCAGCCTGAGAAGAGGCATATGGAACGAGCTGCCTCAGCATCCAAAAGGGAGAGGGAGATGGAGAGAGAGACTGAGAGGGAGGGGTGGTAGTGGGTGCTATCGCACGGAGAGAGGGAAAGCGTCAGAGTGTTCTAGACTGCACAGTGGCTGCCGTGTGGCATCTCGGCAGAGGATAGGAAGAGGAAAGGAGCAAGAAAAACAATCACCTTCCAGTGGAGTACAGTGAAACGAGAGCTGAAGCTACCAGTCTCTCTCTGCTCCGGATCATCTGCCGCGCTGCTCTAATCTCTGACTGGTGCTGAAGCCACCAGGATTACTGTTGTTGTGATTGTTGCTGACACATTGCTGCGCTTCTGACCTGCTCCCACTGTCTCTTGGTGCCTCAGCACTGAGCTGCAGAGCCCACAGCTCTGCACTCATTGGGGACTTTGACCTAGGAGGATACAACATCTTTGACTTCTGCCGTAGATGTACCCGCAGTAGTAAAACCGAAAACAGCAGAGTGCGGTTACCTGTCTCCGGCGAGGGGCCATGATTTGGGGGGGGCCATGAGCCCCGGGTGTATGCTGCTGTTTGTTTTTGGCTTTGTAGGGGGAGCGGTGGTCATCAATTCTGCTGTGCTAGTCTCTCTATCAGTGCTGCTGCTGGTTCACTACTCTGTTTCTACCGGAGGCTTACCTGCCCTGCCTTCCTTACCCTCCTTACCCAGACCCAGCAGGTACAAAATATGTTTGTTTGTGTTATGTGAGTTGCGTAGTTATGTGAAATCAGTAATTGCAGTTACAGAGTCTTTGAAACCTTGTAGTGTTGCTGCCATGTGGGTGCGTTTGTCTGACACTATCAGACTGCACTCTAAAAGTAGGTCAAAAGAGAGAGAGGGATGTGAGTGGCATGAGTCATATCTTGACTAAATCATCTTTCCCAATTTCACTTTTGAAATTGGTGGTTTTGGTGGGTGTACCGGTTGATAATAACCATCTTTTGAAAGTAAAACTGAAAACTGGCGCTGGTAAGCTTAACATGTAAAATATATTTTTCCCCCTGTTATGTTTCAAAAAACAAAAACGAGTGCCGCTCACCATCAGTGGGCCTGCGTGTGACTGCTGTGTCTATTGTTTTTTTTTAGGGCTGCTTTTAATCGCTGCTTGCCGGCTGCTTTATTCCCCATGGCAGCCATTGTTCTCTTCACTCTACAACAGTTGTTTTTTTGTTTTTTTTGGTCACTGTAGTGTGAAAAGCTGCTTGTGTGTATTAGCTCGATGCAGTGGAGAACGCTGTGTTACAGTTGTTGTCAAAGTTTGTGTGCATCACTTCCAGGCAGCTGAGCTGCCAGAGTTTATTTATTGAAGCTGAAGATGATTTCTTCCTAAGCTGTACATTAATAACACAGATCACAAAATGCACCTTTTCTCTGATAGAGGCTGGTAAAGTTGGTTTTGTGTGACTTGCCTGAGCCTAGTAGTTGGGAGCTAATTGAGTTTATGAGGCAACAAGTTATTTTTCTCCTCCCACCACTTCAGTGCCAAGGGAGTCTTTGCTACAACACCTCTCTGTGAAATCCCCATTCAGTTTTGTCACACACTTTGTGTTGTTTTGTCTAACTGATTACATCATGATGATCTGCTTTCACTGCACTGGAAAATGTCCATTTAATTTAGCAAGATCAAATTAAATGGAAGATTTTTTGGGGGAGTATAACAGTAACTGTTTAACAAAACAGAACAAAAAGGATTAAATTCAGTAAGAACCCATGGTTTGTATAGTATCACATAAACTACACTCATTAATGTACACGTCCTGCATTTTTCTGTGGTTCCTTTTTAATTAAGACCTCTGCTGCAAAATAAATGTAATCTTTAGCTCTGCTAGCAGTGTGACTACAATATCTCAGCAACTAATGGATTAAACATTGTAAAATTTGGTATAGATATTCATGGAGCTTATCAAATTCAGTCATGATGAACTTACTAAGCCAATTCAAGGTGGATTTGCACAAAGCGTAAAATCCTCTATCTATCATACAGACCTTGTCAGTCACTTGCCAAGGGAATAATATTCTTGGGATAAGTTGTTAACTTTAGTGATACCTTCACCTTTTTCTTTATGAGCACTATAATCAGGTCAGAATTTTAGTTTTAATTAATTAATGCTGTAGTTTAAGACCAACTACTAAATAATTATTAGCTTACAACTTGTGATTGCCAAGACAAACGTGTGCATGGATAATTCTTTGCTATGGGAATGACCAATGGCCTTTCTGTAGAGCTTGGAAGTATATTTGTAACTGCAGGTGTTGCTGTTGTGGTCAGTAGAAAGAATGCAGGCTTAAAACACTTTACTTTTTAAACTCGGAAGATATTTTTTTTATACAGTCTGTGGGAGTGACCCACAGTACCCATGTGGCAGCTAACGTCAGTGTATGTGGCTTTGTTTTTAAAGCCTCACATGCTGAGCAGAGAGACTAAAACGTAGACCCGGAGTTTTATTGTTCCGATAATGCGGCACTATTGTTTTTGTGCAAAGGTTATGCCTTTGAAAATTAAAATGATTAATGTGGACGTAGCTAAAGATTGACCTCAGAGACCAGCTCACATAAGTCTCTGAGGACATATGTAGGTAGGTATGCTGCAGCAGTTAATTTCCAGTAAGAAATAAAGAGCTTTCATTTTCTACTATGAAAGGCTTTGTTTAAATATTTAGTATTTGAACAAATAAAAACAAACTGCTGGTATTTGAAAAATATGTCTCATTCCTTTAATTTTTTTTTTATTCTGAACATCTTTTCTACCTTTTATGTATTGAAGGAAATTATTCATTTACATCTTGTTTCAGTTTTTTAATGAAAGTGTTTGGATGATTTTCACATTTTCAGTTGGGATTTTTAACGTTGGCATGGCTAATTGTAAAACATTAACAGACCAGCCCCTTAGAAAATCGTTCACTCCTTCCTAAGTTGTTCTCATCACGTTTGAGTTATCCCTCTTTCTGCGTCTCTCCGTCTCCAGGAAGGAGCGTCCAGTCTCCATGGGCCTGTTCCAACTTCCTGCAGCTGAAGGCATGACCCCTGACCTCCACAGAGAACCCGTGGACACCCCATCTGAACCATGGAGATTCAACAACCTTAGCCATCCACGGTCTAACACCAGCCTCAAGGTATGACGTAGGCAGGTCACTGTTTGCACCGTTAATTCATTCCAAAGAAAGACTTCTCTTCATATCAACAATTCCAAAGTGTAAAGTTAGCAAGCTTCCCACGGATCAGATCCATGACATCATCTTGTGTTCGCTTAAGAGTTTGTGAAGCTAAATCGAAAGCATCCAGTGCCAGCAGAAACACCAAAGAAAGACTACATTTCCATCTAGAGAGAAAGGGTTGTTCAGTGTGCCCAGAATTTTTAACAGCGCGTGCGAGAGAGAGCGAGATGGGGTGGCGTGGAGCCCAGGAAACAGGGAAAGTGGTACCATTCGGGGGCCTGCCTTTAACCTCAGGGGAGGGTAGAAAGGACAGTGTGTCTTCACATTGTTGCTGTTGGTAACCATGCTTCCAGCAAAGCTCCATCATGAATATTTATGAGCATCTAATAAGTATTCATTTGTAGTTATTACACTAGTACTGGGTCAAGAGGACATTTTAAGAGTGTGAAAGTGAAATAACATTCAGTTATCAAAGTTTTGCAATGCTGGTATATCCCAGTGTATCCTTTTTCCAACTTAGCTTTTACACAATGACACGGTTTTACACTTCACTCTTAGTCCAGCTGCACAGCAGCGCCTTTGTGTTTGGTCCTCTTAGTTGACCTTTTCAGAAGATTTAGTTAATGATCCCATTCTCCCGCCGCGTTCAGCAGCTTGTATGTGTTTGTGTGCAGATGTTTTTTTGGAAGCTTAGGAAAGAGCCACAGGCAACAGTTGAGCACTGTTCTCCCCCAATTGGCTGTACAGTGTAACTATAGCAACAATGGAGTGACGCCATTGTGCAGACAAGTAACCTGAAAGGAAATACTCCCACCGGTGCAGAGGGAGGAGAATAGGTGGACTCGGAGAGGGAAGAGGGATTATGTTAGAGGAAACTGTAGCATGGATATAATTTAATTCTCTAATACTGTCTGCGAACGCCTCTTTATTCCTTTTGTGTTTGTCAAGATGACAGAGGGATCTGGATGATGGCGTTATTGTCCTGATTGATTCTTTTGCATCAGCACTGTCCTATTTATGGGATAGAGGTCTCCGGCATTAGAGGATCAAAACAATTGAGGCTTAGAAAATCGAAATGCCTCTGCTAAGTGCTCGTGAACTTTAGAGGACGAACGTAATACTTGAAAGTTTTGATTTGATTGACTTTTATAGAGAGATTTCGGCAAAGCGGTGACCTTTACTGCCAAAGGAAGCCTTGAACAGGACTCACTGCTATGTTTTATAAGTTCAGGCCTTTCCCACACTTTTCCTGTTGTTGACTTTTGAGCTTTTCATCTTCCTTAGAGTGGTTTCACATTAGCGTGGCCACTATATAGCAGTAAAACTACATAGTGTGTTTAGTGAATAATTCATTTCCAATGTTTCTCAGCTTGAAGAACTGTTTTCTCCAGTCACAGTGGAAGGTGAAAGTTCACCACAGAATGTTCCCAATGTGGATGTTGATCAGGACCAGGTAGAAACTATAGCCTGTGCATCCACCAGGCTAATGTAGTTCTGTGCCTGCAAACCACCTGTCTTAGGTGGTTTGCAGGTTTTGCACTGTGTGTGTTTGTGTGTTTTAATATTTGCTCATGCTAAAAACTAAAAATACTTTGTCCCAGTGATAATGCACGATGCTTGCCTAGCAACAGAGTGTTTTAGCAGTATCAGAAGGGGAAGTGCCTCTTTGCCTCTTTTATTAAATGAACTAGAAACAATAATTCAGGTTTAATGACATTTTAAAAGATTTGTGAAGTTGAGCTGTTTGGGGCCTGCATCCCAGATTGAGGGAAACTTAAACCTGTTTAAATGTGGAATGATTCTTTGAGGCGGAATGGACTCTGCACCAGACCTGTAACAGTGCACCACTCCTGGCATTGAGGATCCTAGAAAACTGATCAAGAAGCTGGTAATCAAGTGATCCAGTTAATTAGCAGATAACTACATGCGGCATCCACTAAACTTGGATTGATGTCCTTTATAGACTTTTAGTAATTACAGCAGCAAAAAATGCCTTGTAGCGGAATATACAGTGTAAACTGAAGCCTGTCGGAGGTGAGGTCAGATAAGTAACTGAAAATCAGTCAAAAGTGACGTTTCTTATTTCTTATATCGGAATAATCCTGCCCATGTCGGGCACAGTTTCGACTGGAAAGCTCGAGCAGCTTGTGCCAAAATAAAAATGTGTTTTCTGTCATTGAGATACATTTTTGGTTTTTAGTAAAGATGACATCAAACAAGATGATGAAAACTGCAGGATGGAGTAGTTTCAACGACACTTGGAGCACAGTCATAATACAGAGGAAAAAAGTAGTTTGGCGTATTTGCAGTACAAGCCTAGTGAAGTACAGTGGGGGAAATAATTATTTGCTATCCTGCTGAATTTGTAAGTATGTTCACTTAAAGTAATGAACAGTCTGTTTTTCTGTTAATTTCATTTTAATGGAGCGTGAGAAAGAGAGAGAACATGAACCACAAATAAAAAAACAAACAAACAAACCCCAAAATCAAATTACACAAGTCATAAAAAGATTTGCATGTCATTAAGTGAAATAAGTATTTAATCCCAAAGCAAAACATGACAGTACTTGGTGGAGAAATCCTGTTTGGTGTGCACTTTGAACAGTAAGACATTTCTTGTAGTTGGTCACCAGGTTTTCGCACATCTCCGTAACGAGTTTGGCCCACTCGTCTTTACAGAAACTCTTTAAATCTGCTGCTTGGCGACTCGAAGCTTCAGCTCCGTCCACAGATTTTTATGGCAGGATTGAGGTCTGGAAACTGGCTCGGCCACTCCATAATCTTACTCTTCTTGTCTTTTAGACACTATTTGATGCCTTGTTCATCTATGGTTTTGTAATATTTTAGCTTTAATTGAATAAAGGGTTTGTTTAGCATGTTGCATTCTGGGTTGGGTTTTTGTGTGTATCCGTGTGTTTAGCTGCATGGTAAAATGTTCCCATTTTAACATGGTTAACACATAATGTTCTGTTTGAATGGAGGAAATGTAGATTCTCCTTACTGATGATGTCCTAGTGGAACTACAATTGAATGACAGTAATTTTTATGTGAACTTTGCTTGGCTTTGTTATGAATGCAGTGAGGTGCACATAACCTACTTTTTACAATTGATAAGGAGTGAATTTTAAAGTTTTAAAGACTTCCTGAGGCTCATAGTTTTATTTTTTGCTACCTCGTATCTTCTGATTGCTGTTTTCCTCCTTCACCTTAAGGATGAACTGTCCCAACTGAACTGTGGGAGTTCCAGGTCCAACACGCAAACCAACCAGGGAAGCGTCTCTAAAAACGGAACACCTGTGTCTTTACAAGATGGAGGGTCCAAATCCACCACTCCCTCGCTGGGGGGTGCCTCTAAATCAAACACCCCCACATCTAACTACAGCAATAATTCTCAGTCCACCACACCACTGTCTCCTTTTGATGGTGGTTCCACTGGCATGAGTCCCATGTCTAGTCTTGGGAGAGGGTCTGCTTCTGATGTTGCCATGGAGTCTGTGGACACCCCCTTAAAGGACCAGGAAACTTCAGATGGCCACAACAAAAACCTGGACCGGAGCAGTGGAAAGCCAGAGAGCAATAAGAACATAGCAGCGGTGCAGGAAGGACAGCAGAAGGGTCCTGAGTCTGATACTACACCTCTTAAAGAGGATGGTCAGTGCTTCTCTTATCACAGCTTCTCTGTTGCGGTAACATGACTGCACTCCCTTGTAATTGTTCTCAGTTAAGACTGTGCCAGTATTAAATCTGTGCTGGTTATAGATGGAGCAGATAGCCTGGAGAAGTCTGAGGTGCAGGCTATCATAGAGTCCACCCCTGAGCTGGACATGGACCTCGCTGGCTGCAGAGGAACAAGGTACAGCAGTAACCTAAGAGCATAAGCAATAATTATGTTTATCAATGAATAATATGAAGTTATGTATTCATCAGTTTATCTGTGAGCTTTTACATAACTATTAAAATATATATATACAATTACACTCATGTCCATCATATTCATTGTAACCTCGCTAATGAGCCTCACCTTATCAGTCCGCTTTATTGCTGATAAAAGTGCTAAAGTATTGCAAAATCACGCATTCTTCTTCATGATAATAATCCTTTTCTCCCTTTCCTCTGTGTCCCACCTGTCCTTTCAGCACACCAACTAAAGGTGGCGTAGAGAATCTAGCATTCGACCGCAACACCGACTCTCTGTTTGAGGAGCTGTCGTCTGCAGGAAATGACCTCATAGGAGATGTGGATGAAGGAGCTGACCTGCTGGGTAAGAAGTCTCACTCTGTCAGGAGTAACGATGTAGCCTCAGTCTTTAATTTTACTACCAATTTTACCCTCCTCTCGTATTCTCTGAATTGTCTTTTCTTTGGCTGTCGGGCATTATCATCTATACAGATGAGTTTTCTGGTGTGTGTCAGTGAATTTCTCTCTCTATTAACTAGCTCATCGATTTCCTCATTTGTGTGTATAATGTGTCCCCTCTGTGACGTTTCTTTCCTGGATAGGCTGAGTAAATTATAGTGCCTCTGCTGTGCTGTGAAGAGCCGTGATGTTATAAATTAGACGTGTTAAAACGAGAGCACTTAACCTACTTGCAGAGTCTCATAAAGCGCTTTCTTATTCCCCTTTGCATGACTCTCAGACTACAACTTTTTAGGTAAGACTGAGAGAGTTAGTGTGTAGGATAGACATACACATGTAAGAACTTAAAAATACTAAACAATATAGAATAAAAAAAATAGGTGTCAGTAAGATTTTGATTTAATATCGGTCTCTGATCATTTTCAGGTATGGGGCGAGAAGTTGAACACCTTATCCATGAGAACACCCAGCTGCTAGAGACCAAGTGAGTAATCACTGAAAAGTTTTGGAGGCGAGCTGTTCAAGCTGTGCCAGTTTAGTACACAAGTATTTTATTTCAATGGTAACCAATGCAGACTATTAAGAGCAGCAGAAATAAGTGTATCCCAGAGTGCTGCAAACCTGCCAGCTGCCACAGGGCGAGAGGCGCCTGGACAGGTGAGCCGCTGTGGTTGTCTGCAGACAGACAATCACTCACACTCAAACCTGCGGTTAATTTAGAAGCACTAATGAGCCTACAACAGTGCAGTTATAATACAGTGTGAGGACTCAGTTACAGCCCACAGTTTGGACCTTTTGTACTCACAGCTTCTGACACCAGTGAGTACAGACATGTCATAAACTGACACTGTGCCTCGCTAGTTAAAGCCAGATAAGTATTTATTTATTTCTAAAGACATAAGAGGGTCTTATTTGGTCACAAGCTGTTAATAAATCTGTGGTCCAATATGTCACTGTGCGTGCACCAGGAGGCACAATGTGGCTGCAGATGAATTTATGGTCATGCAGAGAGTGTGTTCGCTGTCCGCCTGTCTGTCTGCAGTGAGTTATGGTTTGGTTACAGCTGGTCTGTGGGCTTTTCTTGCTCGTGTTATTGTTGGTCCGTGAGCCACCTGCAAAAAAGAGCGGAGTTGTAACATGCAAAGCACTGAAGTGAAACAGCAGCAGAGCAACAGCTGAAAGTGTTAAAAACAATGAAAATCGTCCTCTGCAGCCACTGTCTCTGCTTTTCATGCTTTATTTTTGGATCTTTGAGGTACGTGTTTCTCCCATTCCCGATGAACTGTGCTATTACTCCCTGCTCTACTTTGGCACCAGTTAGCATTTGACAGATGCATACATGATTCATCATCTGCCTTCCAGCGGCAGTCAGGATCTCTCTCCTGCACTCTCTCCAACCGAAAAGAGTATACGGATGGACACGTATGCGGGACCATAAATTCCACTTTACTTCATTTTAAAAATGGCTGATGGGTGGAGTCATGTTTCCACCTTTAAAATAACCAGCTGGGCATTTTTTGACTCTACTTGATAGACTTTTACCACAGAGTTAAAATTGGTCAGTTTATGGATAAATGAATATAGAAATAACCAATATTGAGGAACAGAGTAATGGTGCCCCCTTGTGTTTAAAATTGATATTACAGCAGATTGTGAGTTTTTCTGCATATGTATTACTTTTCAGAAATGCTTTGAATGTGGTGAAGAATGACCTGATATCTCGTGTGGATGAGCTGTCGTGTGAGAAGGAGGTACTGCAAGGAGAGCTGAATGCTGTCACACATGCTAAGACCAAACTGGAGGAAAAAAACAAAGAATTAGAGGAAGAACTTAAAAAGTGAGTCGGCTTCAAAACACAATGTATAAATGAATTGCCCACCAGTCGAGGGTCTGCACTTTTACAGTTCTGACAGACTGAGTGTGTACTTTGTTACTCTGTCGCAGAGTTCGAGCAGAGCTGGACGAAGCCAAACAGAAGGTCAAGAATGACAATGAGGATGATGTGAGTCCTTGGCGCTTGTTATTTCTGCTTGTTGCATTCGTATATAAGTCTGAGCAGCGTAGAATGTCGAGGTATTTGACTTGCTATAAGTATCGGTTATCTTTAAGTAAAGATTGGTCTCCTGCCTGCAGAGTGATGTGCCTACAGCACAGAGGAAGCGCTTCACCAGGGTGGAGATGGCCAGAGTGCTGATGGAGAGGAACCAGTACAAGGAGAGACTCATGGAGCTGCAGGAGGCCGTCAGATGGACGGAGATGATCCGGTAACATGATCATCTGAGTCCATATATAAATGTTCTTCTGCACACAGTAAAATATATGCTAAGACAGAAAGTTTGTTAGAAATTGTTAGAATTTTTTGTTTGTTTTTTTTCTTTCAGGGCTTCAAAGGAGAACCCAACTCTTCCAGAGAAAAAGAAGTCCAGCCTCTGGCAGTTGTAAGTTCAAGTGTTTTTATGTTTTTGTTTTTTTTTAACTTGAGGACTTAAATCACGACTACCATGATTGTTGATATTTATTGCTCTTCTTCTGTATTCCATGTTTGAATGGTTTCTCCAGGATGTAGGTAAATCTGACATGATAAACATAACTGACCATTGAAGCTCTCATCTTATAACAAACCCCTAACAGAGGAGAGGAATCCAGAGAGCAGTGCCTCTGCTTTCAGTTCTCAGACCAGTCGTAGATTCTTGATTACGTTTTAAAACTGGTTGTAAAAATCAACCTCAGAAGCTTCCGAGGCTGCTGTTCTTCTCCTTTGTTAGAGTCCATAAGGATTGAGTTTGGTTTGAGGCTGGGCACTATTTGAAGCAGTTCTTTGGGACTGGAATAACTGCACTTATAAAACCGTATCTGACAAATGTGCATCTCTGCCTTTTTCCTGTGTGTCCCTCTATTCTGCCTGATGTTGTGACGTCTGTGTGCAGGAGGTGTGTTGGGAGGGTTGGTGTAGAGTGGGGAGGGAACTCAGAAATATGGGTGGAGTGTTTTGGTTGAAACAGTTAAAGATATAATAGATTTAATAGAATCTAACACCACATTTAAAAAATAAAAAATTAAAGTAGCTTTGCATGATTTACAGTTTAAAGCGATTCTTATTTATCTGGTACTGTGCCACTGTGTGTAACGAGCACTTTTAGCTCCCTTCTCCATCCATTTAAGCCAGCTTTCTCCTGATTGGCTGTCCCTTACAGACAAAGGATATAAATAGCAGTTGGAGCTGGTGTGCTCACAGTGGGCAGTTTTCCAGAGATGACCATATTAGGGTTTTCCAGTCTCTCTGACAAAAGTCCAAAAGTAGAAAAGAAAACAGTCTGAAAGGAAGAATTTAGAGCAGTGGGAGGCCTCAGCTTCAGCCTCAGAGGATTTGCTTGCACATTCATTAATTATATATATCATATATACACTAAGGAAAAGCATAATTGGTCCACTTTAATTGACAGATATTTTCCTATGTTAATTAGAAAAATGGTAAAAATGTATCACTGCATGTAGATAGCTAAAAAGCTTGTTTGCTTACTGTAGAGGAGTTGTGGGAATGTGAAGTTGTTTTTGGTCAGGCCTGTTCTGCTCTGTGTTGACTAACATCCTAGTCGGTGCTCAATATTAACCCCGCACTCCCTGCTCTCCAGCATTCTGGATTTACAGGTGCTCTGATGCTTTTCTGTTTAGAAGACGAATTAATTCCCTGGTTTGAATGAAAGCTAGCATGGCGTGTTGGCACTGGGAGAGGAACCTTTTTTATTCTTAAACCCTACCTGTGTTGCTGGAGCTACTGCTTTTGTGTCCGCCCCTCTATATGTTTGTCTGTTTGCTTTGTTTCCCTCCTTCCCCCCTTTTTCCCTTTCCACTTCCCTGCCCTTACACCTCCAGTTTCAGCCGTTTGTTCAGCTCGTCGGGCGGAGGAGCCAAGAAGCCGGCAGCGGAGGCCCCAGTAAACGTCAAGTACAACGCACCCACCTCTCAGATTCAGCCGTCCGTCAAGAAGAAGAGCAGCACCCTGCAGCAGCTGCCCAGTGACAAGAGCAAAGCCTTTGACTTCCTCAATGAGGAGTAAGTCAGAAAACACACACACTGTTAGTCGTGTTTCCTGAGATTACTTTTGGAGCACTGACCAAAGATCACAAACATCCCACTCATATTCATTGTTAATTTTTCCAAATATTTTCTTCAGTGATAAATTCTTTGATCCAAGTGTCCAAAAGTATTCAGCTTGTTTTAGCTTTGCTATTGAACTTTTACACTAGGAAATAAAAATCCCACTTCAAATGTTCCATTCATCCATGGTCTTCCACTTCAGGTTTGCCTATCCCAGCTGTCGTAGGGCGAGAGGCGGGGTACACCCTGGACAGGTCGCCAGTCTGTCGCAGGGCTAACACATAAAGACAGACGATCATTCACACTCACATTCACACTTATGGTTAATTTAGAATCACCAGTTAACCCAACCCCACTAACTGCATGTCTATGGACTGTGGGAGGAAACCAGAGTACCCGGAAAGAACCCACACGAACATGAGGAGAACATGCAAGAAAGGCTCTGGCCACGTGGTGCTGAACCCAGAACCTTCTTGCTGTGAAGCAGCACTGCTAACCACCGCGTCACCTCGCTGCCCTTCAACACACATTTGATAAATTAAACATTTAGGCTGTCAAGATTTGAGCTCTGGTCAGTGCAGCCACAGAAACACATGTGAGTTGAGGAGAAGTGAGACAAGTTGAGAATGTGCAGGAAGACACAATGGACAACAAATCAGTAATTAAATCAACGAGTAAGTCATCAGTGTTTCAGCAGTTTCCTGTACCTCGCTCAAAATCATAGCAGCCTACCTGCACCTCAGTCTGACTTAGTTTGCATGTTTGTTGTGAGAAGCGGATGCCCTGATCTGTAGTCATCTTTCTTTAGTCAACCATAAACTGTGTAGAGGAGCTGAGGCGGTAGTATAGTGGCTACTGACATGAAAGAAGGCAAATCTTCAGTTGAAGAGGAAAAAAGAAAAATAATCAATGAAAAATGTTCTTTTCTTTTATTTAGCCTTTAGTCATCTATGAGTTCAATAATTTCTCATAACTTTTCTTGTCCGCTGTCTCTGAACTTCATTCAGTGGCTGTGGCCGTATGAAGCAGGGGAAGAGGAGCAAAGTTTAGCGCAGAAGAGAGATGGGGAAATGCAACATGGAGTCGAGTTAATAGCGGCTCTTTTGTCCCGCAGAGCGCCAGCTGATAGTGTGGTATCCAGGCGAGAACAGAAGAGGGCTCAATACCAGCAGGTCAAAGCCCACGTCCAGAAGGAGGATGGCAGACTGCAGGCGTACGGCTGGAGCCTCCCTAAGAAGTACAAAGTAAGGAAAGGAGAATATTAATTGTACCAAAGGGAAGTTCACACTAGAACAAAGCGTTAAATGCAGTGACTGTTTGTGTGTTTGGCTTTTCAGGCTAACGGTGGTCAGGCAGAGAGCAAGATGAAGAGTCTACCTGTTCCTGTCTTCCTCAGACCGCTAGATGAGAAAGATGCTTCTATGAAGGTTTTAAAGATTTGGTTCACAACAGGAAATATAAACATTTTGAGACTTTTGTCTCAGTAGTGTGGTGTAAATTATTAGCTTATTATTCATATGTCTGACTGCTGTATCTGTGTGTCTGTGCTTCAGCTGTGGTGTGCTACCTGTGTGAATCTTTCTGGAGGTAAAACCAGAGATGGAGGTTCAATAGTCGGGGCCAGTGTGTTTTATAGTGACGTGTCAGGACCAGAGAGCCCGAAAAAGGTGGTTGGATCTCAGAGCAGTCTGGATAAGCTGGATCAAGAACTCAGGGTACATACGCACACACTTTGATGTGATCTTTGACCCAAAATGCTGATTTCCAAATTTGTATTTTTTTTATTCTTTGATTCTATTAAAGTAACTTTGTTCAAATTAATCTTTATTTGAATTCCGATGGGTCTTGCTGTTGTCTTTTGGAAACTAAAGGTTTGTTAATAAGTAATTTATTTTCCGCTTCTCTGTTTTTGTGGACCCAGGACCAGCAGAAAGAGCAGCGGCACCAGGAGGAGTTGTCGTCACTCGTGTGGATTTGCACCACCACCAAGTCTACTACTAAAGCTGTCGTCATTGATGCCAACCAGCCTGGGAACATCCTGGAGGGCTTCTTTGTTTGTAACTCTCACATCCTCTGCATCGCAAGCGTGCCAGGTCAGTTAATCAGTGTATTTGTATCCCACAGTTGGAGACGTTTTTTCTTTTGTCCTTTTTGTGGAGATAACTCACTTGGCATTCACTGGCCTGCAGAAAACGCACATCAGTTATAAAGAACAGCACGATTTCTCTATTAATTTTCTTCAGGTGCGAGAGAGACAGACTACCCAGCTGGAGAAGAAGTGCCTCCAAACTCTGAGGTGGGACCGGTGGGAGATGGCAACTCTTCAGCAACCAGTACCAGCTCAACAGGTGGCGACAGCGTGCTGGGAGGCATCACAGTGGTGGGCTGTGAAGCTGAGGGAGTAACAGCTGTTCCTCAGACAGCAGGAAAAGATGGAGAAGCCGGTAAGAGCTTTCGGGATCACTGCAAAGGAGTCTTCTTCTGATACATTTGCAAAAATAAAACTACTGTGCTTCTGCATGATTGGTTTCCCCAGAATCCAGACCAGCGGAAGAAGCCACAGAGGCGACAGAGACCAGTGCAGAATCTGCTGACCAACGAGAAAGCCTGCGGGAAATCTACACTGAGCACGTCTTCACAGATCCACTGGGAGCACAGCACAAAGTAGAGACGCCAGCCAACTACTCTCAGAGGTAACATCAAGAGGCAAAGTGGTGTTGTGATCCAGTCTTGCTAATAAAAGCTTCACTTTGTTTCAGAGCCATAAACAAACCACAGAGCAGCAACAATAGCTTGCTGTAAACCATTTACTGTATCGTGAGCTGCATGTAAACATTAGTGAACGATTACTGCAGTGCATCAGAGCTTCAGGTCAGGCTCTGTTTCTGCATCACTCATCGACTGTGTGCCTTTTACCTTGAAACGTGATCTATACTGAATTATATACTGTCTGATCTGCATGTTTAATGGCTGCATATCCGGCACGCACTTTATTCCTTTGTTAATCAGCTAATGTGCAAAGAAGAACTTTGAAAGATCTTCAGCAAACTTGGGGAACTATTGCTCCGGACCCTTTGAAATCTGGCTGCTTTTTGAGAGCAAAAGGGAAAGAAATGTGGGACGATTTGAGACTTTTGCTCAGTCCTGTATCTTAATCCCCAGTGCATTGCAGTGAAGCATTTAATCCATTATTCCTTGAAAAGAAAGTTGGTAAAATCAGTCCAAGATTTATTTGTCTCCTTTTGATTGAAGCGGCGTGACTAATCCACTCACTTTTTAAGTTTAAGACTCACAGTGACAGACGACAAACAGGACTCATTTAGAAAACTTTGTCCTTTTGGTGATCAAGCATAACGACGATAACTGACTTTTTGCTCTTTTGAAGTACAACAAACACACACAATCAGTCCTTCTTGGACACTCGTGTCCAAACACATAAGATTAAAGTGTCCCAGTGCAGACGTCTGATGTAAACACTGTATTTACTGTGTTCTCTGACGAGCAGGGAGAGCGATCTGCTGAAGGATGGCGTGAGCTTGAACCCCAGCGCAGAGGAGCAGGACCTGATGAGAGAAGAGGCTCAGAAAATGAGCAGTGTTCTTCCCACTATGTGGCTGGGCGCACAGAATGGATAGTGAGATTTTTTTCATTTTTCTTTCACTCAGCACTTTTGTAAGTGACTGAATTTAAAAACAGAAAAAAAACCCTCTGTCTAAATCGATGCACCTGCTGTGATTCCAGTGTGTACGTGCACTCCTCCGTGGCTCAGTGGAAGAAGTGTCTTCACTCTATAAAGCTGAAGGACTCTGTGCTCGGCATAGTGTAAGTGCATTCAGACAGGTGGCAGCTGGAGTTTATTTCCTTCCTATTTGCCTGTTTAAACATGTAATTCTCACACATTTCCTCCCACAGACACGTGAAAGGGCGTGTGCTAGTCGGCCTCTCTGATGGCACGTTAGCCATTTTCCACAGAGGTGTAGGTGAGAGAGTTGAGCTGTTGCCACTTCCTTCTTTAACGTGTGTACACATTATCCAGCTGTCTAACTTGAGTTTATTTTGTAAGATGGACAGTGGGACCTGACAAACTACCATCTGTTAGACTTGGGGAGGCCTCACCACTCCATCCGCTGCATGACAGTAGTGCATGATAAGGTGTGGTGTGGCTTCAGGAACAAGATCTATGTGGTGCAACCTAAAGCCATGAAGATAGAGGTACAGTAACCTCGTGGTAATGATTAGCACTTCAGAAATCTTCCCTTTGCTTCATGTCTAAACTGCTAATGTCTTTGTACACTGCAGAAATCATTTGATGCCCACCCTCGTAAGGACAGTCAGGTACGTCTGCTGGCCTGGGACGGCGACGGTATCTGGGTGTCCATCAGACTCGACTCCACCCTCAGGCTGTTCCACGCTCACACCTACCAGCACCTCCAGGATGTCGACATCGAGCCCTATGTCAGCAAAATGTTGGGTCAGTTCTACAATCGTCCGTCTTGACAACAGCAGCATGTTTTGAAAATGCAGAGATAAAAGTTTTGTCTGTGTTCCAGGCACGGGCAAACTGGGCTTCTCATTTGTCAGAATCACGGCTCTGATGGTGTCGTGTAACCGTCTGTGGATCGGAACTGGCAATGGCGTTATCATCTCCATTCCTCTGACGGAGGGTGAGTCTGAGCTGGATCTGTTTAGTTCTTTTCTAACCTCTTAGTTGAGACTTTGGTTATGCTTATTTGTTCTGTATGTGTTGCTGCCTTTATGTGTGATCTCTGAATGAGCTGTTGCAGTGTAGTAATGACAGTATGTTGCTTAATAGTTGATTCACTCCTGCTCGATCATTAGCAGCCAGCAAGGTTACCAAGGCAGCAGGTAACCAACCAGGAAGTGCAGTCCGTGTTTATGGTGACGACAGTGGCGACAAAGTCACAGCAGGGACGTTTGTTCCATACTGCTCCATGGCTCACGCTCAGCTCTCTTTCCATGGTCACCGTGATGCTGTCAAGTTCTTCACAGCTGTTCCAGGTGAGCAAGCAGAAATGGACTAAACAAACTGCAGAAGCCCAAATCCTCTGCTCTAAACCACTCACAACCTGAGGGTTTAGTTTAGTTGAACAATGTGATTAATGGTGTCAAATCGTTGTTAAATAGACATGTGATATTACGGCAGTCTTTATTTACTGCAGAGTTACATTTTCTCCAAAGCTGTTCTTGGTTCGAGGAAAGAGCGGCAAGTCAACTAATCCCCCAAAACTGGAAAATTAATAAGTAAATCTCCACTTCACAGAGTAGGATACACCCAGAACTGACCAAGGATATTATATATCTCATCTAGCCTGCTAACAACCAGGAGGGACCAGAAACCTGATGGAAAAAGATACAATAAAATAGTTACAGAATATAGAAAAAAGCAAAATATAGGGAGTTTAATCATTAAAATCTAACAAATGAAAGTATTGTGGTATGAGATTGTAAAGATTCAATGAGGAAAAGTGAAAGGACTCTAGATCCCTCCCAAACATAAGGCAGAAGGGCCCTTACCGCGTCGCGGCTGCCAGTGACGACACCTGCGGCTCTTTCTTTGAGGGGCCTCCCTTCAAGTTCAAGTTCACATTACGGACCGCAGCCAGTCTGTCAACAACGTGTTAGCGCGGTTAACTCATTAACGCGTTCGCTCCGTGAAGCCCCACGCACGGGGCGATCCGCGCTAACTTGCTAACGGAGATTTGCCGGGTTAATGCAGTTATGGCGTTAACGTCATTTTAACGAGATTAACGCTGACAGCACTAATTAAATGATGACAAAACAAGTGATGCAAACCTCGGCTTTCGGTCCTTGCTCGTGTTTGTTTCTTAACTCTGCATTAAAACTGAGTAGGCATAAAATCCAATGCTTTAGCACAACAACTCGGTCCTTTATTGACTAGTAATAAAGGGAAGGCAATGCTTCGTTATAGTTCCTGTCATTCTCAAACAGCTGACTAACTAGTGAGCTGAAATCTGACTGGGTGTAATTCTGGTAATTAACAAGGGCTAAATGTGAAAACTAGAAAAAAGTGGCTGAGCAGATGCAATCTGGAGTTTGTCCCTCTGTGCTTTCAGGTCACGCAGCTGCATCTGCATCGTGTGCAGGAGAAGCAGCTGGCGACAAGGCGGCAGATGCCACAACTCAGGAAGGAACTAAGTGTATGCTGGTGATGAGCGGAGGCGAAGGCTACATCGACTTCAGAATGGGTGAGTTTATTGCATGACGTGCTTACAGACCAGGCGGTAACGGCGCAGTGGTTGTAGAGGAGAACATGACGACTTGTGTGTCTTCAGGCGATGAGGACGGAGAGATGGAGGAGGCGGAGGACGCCCCCATCAAACTTCAGCCTAAAGCCGAGCGCAGCCACCTTATCGTTTGGCAGGTGACTCAGGACTGAGCTCTCGAGGCCTGATTTGCCTTTTCTCTCAAACCACGGAGTCGTCGAGGTGGGCGAGGCTTCTCTATGAGTTTAATCAGCACTTTCTTTTCTTCCTCAGTCCTGGACAGAAAGAGTAAAACAAGCAAAAACTGCTCTGAGCTCCTCCTCAACGTTAACCTTGATGCATGTTGTTTTATTATTGTTTTCTTTCTTTTTCTTTTTAATTTCATGGATTTGAAATGTAATCTGTTATAATGCCTCTTTTAGTATTATTTAATGTAAAGCGGTTGTTGAGGACAGAAGAATTACTTTTGATTTGTTGTATTTGACATTTCCAGGTTCCCTTCATTCAGTCCAGTTACTGTGTGCCCATGCTGGACTTGGCATATGTAAAATCGGTCAATGAAGACACAACAGAAAGTGGCCACATAATAGTGTAAAATGGAAAGCCTTCATTTGATAACTTTGCTTTTGAAAGTCTTTAGGTCAAATGCAATACACCACATATCAAGCTGGTTTGTGTCTGTTTTGTTTATCTATCCTAATAATCAATTTGCAGTAATGGTAGCCCAGTTTGTGCCTCGTGTGTTGCCGCTACATTCAGGCCACAGATCTGCACCACGCTGCAGAACTGAGCCCTGGAAAAAAAGAGCCCACGTGGAAGCACCAAAGATTGTAGTTCTTCTAATGGCCACTAGAGGTGCCACAGACTTCCATGTTATTATTCCCAACTTCACCCATGAGAATAACTTCGAAGCCTGTACAGCTAATTAGTCCGTTCAACACAAACACATACAATCAGTGTTTCTTTGTTTGTTGTTTTTTTTTAAATATGCAACTTATAATTCTGGACTCTGCTGAATGAGGAATGTGAGCAATCAGGCTGCTGAGTTTTACATTCTCAAATTTCGAGTCACTGAAATGAACTTCTGCATCATGTTTGTGCTGTTTGTCCTTCCAATTTTATCAAACAAATAATTTCATGCTGTGAGGTACAGGCTGTTTCTGCTTTGGTTTTGGTGAAATTCTAGCATTTGATTAGTCTTACTGTAGTGTCTGTAGTTACACCTGCACAATTTAGAGATGCAGCAGCAGTTTGCAGCATTTGCAGCAGCAAATGTTGCTCTATAACAACTATAAAATGTCTTGTTTTGCACAGGTATTCATGGTCCTCTTGAAAATGTTTCCTGGCACTTCATGTAGTGCTGCTTCGTCTGTATGAATCTTGGGACATAATTTGATTTTGAGATTTTTTTTCCCCCCCTCCCAGGACGTGTCTTTAGACTCTGCATGGTTGGGGTTGTTGTGTTTCCTGAAAATCCGATGCTTAGCTCTGTGACTGAACCCAGTGTTAATGAATGAGAGGCACAAACTGCAGCTCTAACGGAGTTGCAGTAGCAGCTACCATTTTAACTCACTCACAGAACATTTGATGACATAACAAGCAGAAGCTGCTGTGTCTGTATAAACCTAAAGAAAGGACTTTCTTTATGTTTACACACCACAGACTTGTACTGAATCCAGGATGAGGTCGAGTCCTTTGGCTCTTTGATATGCGTGAGGACTGATTTAAAGGCTTTGAGTGTAACAGAGTATTAATTTTTTTCTCAAAACAATGCTCTGATTGTTACCAAAGGTTAAAGAATATAAAGTTTTCCACATGCTAAAACAATAGTTGTGTCTGGTTTAAGTGATGGCACCTTTCTGCAGCATGTGAGTCTGCCTCCATGTAGATACTGTGTGAGTTTTTCTAACAGAATTCCTAATGTATAGATGAGATCTATTTTTAGACTTTGATATGTGGGAATATTTTTAGGGTATGGGAAAAGAGAATGTGCTGCTGGACCTAAAACTGAGAGGATAAAAAAGCCACACTGAGGATTATCACCCCGTGTCCCCCCCAACCACCCCCCAAAATTCTTCTTTTTAATAGGAGGTCAAAACTGGAACATATGTGTCAATTAGCAATATCGCAGCCTGGCAGCAAAGCCCCGTTTGCCATGTTCCATATGAACGTTTCTTTTTCATGTCTGTCCCCACTGAGTGCAGTGTGTCAGATGTCCACTGGAGACGGTCTCTGGCCTGCGTGTCAGCATGCTGCACTTTTGTTTTGTTCTTTGTATTGAACCACTATAGCGGAGGCCTGTTCTCGTTTTGCGAGGGTGTGTGTGTGTTTGTGCGTCTTCTCTCCAGGAGAGAAGAGTAATTATATTGCAATTTAGCCATTTCAGTATTTATTTACAATGATTGAGCCTTTGCAATTCAGATTGTATCTTTGTACATGGAATATGAATATATATGTATATGTATATATATATATATGTATATATATGTATATATATGTATATGTATGTGTATATATGTATGTATGTGTATGAAACATGAATGTGGCTTGGGTTTTTTGTTTATTGTATGACTTTACTCAGCTATGCACCTCTGAAGCGGAGTGAGCGTGGGGTGTTTGAAAGCAGAAGCCCTGCTGCCTGTCAGCAGATGCATCAGTTTCCACCTCCAGCGTGGGAAATGAAGTCAAACTGAAGTCTGGGAGGCACTGATTGGGCGGCTCCATCCCATCACAGCACGACAGAGGAAACTTTGTTGTAGAGCCTTCAGCAGAGCTCCTCCACACAGCTGTGTCATCCCTCCCCTCTGCGACTGCTTTCATTAACTCAGCAGGGGCTCCTCCTCCATGTTTGCAGTACAAATATCTTGTACGTCTGCAGCATCTATAGCCTTACTTATTTTTAACAATCAATTAAAGCAACTTTTGTGGGCAAGTTTGGTCTGCTGGGTATATTATTATGATTATTATTATTGGTTATTATACACATGGTGGCTCTGCTTGTAAAGTGAAACGAACAGAGCCATCCATCCAGTAACACTTTAGAGTTACACCATCATTAAACTGTAAATCACTAATTGAACTTTTGTTACAAACAGTAAACTATTAATGAAATGTTGCGTGTTTTGTAATCTGTGTAATATTATTTGTATTGCTGCTAAACATTAGAACTAATGTTTGTAATATTTGGATTATTATTCAGTTTCGATGTTATTTGTAGCTCTTTTAGTCGAGTTGTGTCAAGTCGAATAGGTAGTGATGAAAAGGGACATAACAGTTTACAGCAATGACCATCTTAAGATGCTTTCATTTTGTATCCACTGTTGGCCCGATGGTAGCGAAAAATCACAAGACTGAACCTGCAGGCGGCCATTTGTCCCATTTCATTTAGGCACTAAAACAGTTTATATTTAGGGGAAGATTTCGGTTTAGATCCAAATCTGAGCCATTATGAAGGAGACCTCACAATGTCTGTGACAGGAGGCATGAGCTGAAGGATGCCAGTTGCTTTGTAACCTTAACCTAAACTAAATGGCGGTATTTGACATCCTGGGATGGGCTCACTGATCGGCAATGACTCCTTGCTGGTTTAAAACAAACAAAGAAATCTGGTAATTATTAACACTAATTTTATTAGACTTTTAATTTTATTTTGTCCGTCCGTATCTGGAAGTCCCACAGGATCTTAGCTCAGCCATTCTCGACCATTTCTCCCATTTTGATCTTGGGACTTCCAGTCCATACTCGGCACAGATATTCCTGTATACTATGCCGGCCACTTGGTTATGGCGTTCCATGTATGCCCTGTCTGCTAGCATCTTGCACCCTGTTATGTGCTGGATTGTCTCAGGGGCATCTTTACACAGCCTGCACCTGGGGTCTTGCCTGGTGTGATAGACCCCAGACTCTATGGATCTTGTGCTCAGAGCTTGTTCCTGTGCTGTCTAACAGTCCAGCCACTTGCAGGACTTCTAGATGTCAGCCACTTCCTCTATCTGCTGGTGGTACATACCGTGCAGGGGCCTGTCCTTCCATGATGGTTCCTCCTCTTTCTTGGGTTTCTGCTGCCTTTGGTATTCACTGAGCATGCGGTCGGTTCTGGCCATCTTCCTGATGTATTCATGGATGTTTGTTGCCTCAATCGAGACTGTGGTACTGACACTCACTACTCCCCGGCCTCCTACTTTCCACTTAGCATACAGCCTCAGGGTGCTGGACTTGGGGTGAAACCCTTATTAGATTATTCTGTTATTATATGTTACCTTATATATGTAATCAAAGTAGTTGAATTAGAATACTGCTGTAGATCACATTATACCCTTTAATATAGAGTGTGTGAGCTGTATGTAGTGTAGTTCTCATTATACTTTTGAGTTAACAGAACATATTCACATATTAGTTCATTAGATAAATGTGCATCACTCTGTATCCTTGATCTGCTGGGAATGTGTTACACTGTTTTTTGACATGCTTAATTGTTGAATCATGAAGAGAAGGTTGTAAGCAGGAGACTCTGTGTCTAAAGACAGGGGAGATAGACAGACCACATTCCACACCCCCACCTTACAGAAAGCAGAGAAACAACTGCCGAGGTCATAACTTAGGCGCTGTAACAGAGAAAAAATGTGATGTTTTGGCTTTTACGACTAGCTGGGGGCCACTAGAGACTATAAAAAGCTGAGCAACCCGTCACCATTTTGAGACATGTGCCTGACCCTCTGGTAGCATCTCTCCCGTCCGGACGTTGTAATGCTCTAACTGTTGAATTGTATGGAAATAAATGATTGTTGATTGAGCATTGATACACAGAGTATTGTCCCTCCTTCAGCCCAAAGATTCAAAGAATTGGGAGAATTCAACAACTTGGTGCCGTGTGACCCGGATCTTTGGTGTGCTGAGGTGGTGTAGATTTGGCCTTTGGTGAGATCGTGAGGCGAGGTGAACAGAAGGCCGGCCTAAAACAGAAAGGTAAGCACAGCCTGTTGTATTATAAATACCAAATGTGCATATTGGGCTTTCCAAATTAATCTGTTCGCTGAGTCACATGTATTTTCACAGTAAATTTGTCGGTGTCTGGTTTTTGGCGCAAGATACTAACAACATAAGTTGAGGCTGAATTCCAGTGTGTTAAATAAACTGCTTCTACCGAGATACTAATAACATACTACGTTGGACTAGTTGCAGCCACTTTACCTTCCACATTTAATTTTGTCTAATACTGGCTTCTGTAGCAATAATACGTTAGAATTTCTTCTGAAGACGCGGCCATTAGTCCAGTACATTGAAGTCGAGGTTTGTTTATTTTGTTTATGGTGTCAGTGACGTCCTGGCTTTTGCCGGCTATGAAATAGAAGTTGATTTAAGGAAAAGCAGATGCTGGCTTCACGGTGCAGTTGAACGCTGGCAACGCGAGAGCGAAACACGTCCGTAGGTTTGGTTTATGATACGGCGTGTTCCGGTGTTCCGCTGTCAAGGTAGGCATGTGGCCTGCTTATCTGTTTAAAAGTGATGAAAATGAAATTAAAATAAATCTCTTAGTGTGTTAATACAGGAAGCTGCGGACCTGGACCAACTGCCCCCACAAGCACAGCGGCCGAAGCAAAATTATAGGTAATGAGAACCACACCCAGCACGAATCAGCAGCTGTGAAAAAGACAGCAGCGAGGAGAGAATTAGAGGAGAAATTAAGAGAAGTTTTAACACATAAAATTGGGGCCAACGGACTTGTGGAGGTTGGGAAGGCGTCCGGAGCATCACAACAAAAAGGTGAAACAAAAACACACACAAGCAGAGAAATCTGAGAGAAAGGCTCCTTTTAAGGTAACGCCTAGTTTGAGAAAAGATAAAATTAACCTGCTTTTATACAAATGCACATACACGCAATGAAGAAACAGCTTACACTCATGAACACGTGAAGATTTTCCAGCAAGGTTAAAGAAAATTAACATACTTAAATGATGAAGTCTATACATTACTGACAAAGAAACCCTCTGGGTTGCAGGACAACAAGTTAACTAAAAAAAAAAAAAGAAACACTGGTCTAACCAACCAGGCAAGACGCAACAAATTTAGTGGTTAAAAGATTCAAATTGTGACATGTTTTCTGTTGACTGATTAATAAAAGTGATTACTGAATGAAAGAAAGTTCCTCTTTTGGGCTTTTAAACATGATCTTAAGAATTTTAACATATACCTGTGTTGTCCTGTCAACTTGGTGGGTTAGGAGTTGATCATATCGGGAGACAAAAAACAAAAAAAGGGGGAGAGAAGGCTGACACAGGGCCTGGTCCCGGTGTGTCTCCCCTCTGAATAACACAGCCAACACAACAACATTTTCCTGTTCGTTTGTTTTTGTTTTTTGTTTGTTTTTGTTTTTTCTATACATATTTAATTACAGGCTGCTTTGCCGGCCCTGAAAGCCGAGGCTGACTGGACTCCTGCTCTCCCCCATACGTGACACTGACCAAATGCTGCAACAGCTGGACCCACAACAACGACCTGAGAATGTCAACAGACCTGCAGGAATGTGATCTCATGCAGCCGAGACGGAGAGCACTAAACCTAAGGCCCGTTTCACTACACGGGGGAAAATTCCCAGACTGCGTCAGCTGACAGAGCTGTGACGAGACGCCCGCCAAGCCCGAATGAAAAGTAAGGCAGAGCGAAAGAATGCTGACCTTGATAACTTTTCATTCACACTGTGCAGGACAGTGATGGACCAACACGGATGATCGGGCGGCGAAAAGGGCGTGACCGAGACAAGAGGAGTAACTGAGGACAGAAGGCACCTCAGAATGGACAAAAACACAGAAGAAGATGCCGGTTTCACCTGCGGTGAACATCGACACTGGAGAAAGGACTGCCCCAATTGGGGTCAGAACCAGGACGGACTGAATTTTGAGCAGCAGCAATGGTCGCAAACAAACTGAAAAGGAGGGGGCAGGACCCCAGGGCATGCTTCAGGCCGTGGTTTACCCAGAACACCAGAACAGGAAAGTGATGAACACACACACACACACATACACACACACACATACACACACACACACACACACATTGGAATGCTGATTCACTGAGAAGTGATCCACATACACACACACACGCTGATGCAATGAAGAATGCTTTGCTTATGCTGATATGCAAAATGCTGCACACAAACATCCCAATGCATAATTTTTATGAGGAGCCATTGATTACTTAGAATGTGTTATATGTCACCTAGAAGGCATTTATGTAGATTTTAGGAATAAGCTCTAAAACGGTTTGGTTATGAAAACAATGTCTGTGCGTGATGTCTGTTTATGGCTCAAGGCCTTGACTGAATTCTTTGCTGTGCTTCACATAGCCCTGATGAGGAACAGTGGCACAGAGTGAAAATGATGAATTAATAGTGTAAGTTTAGGTTGGAGTACGGCATTTTCTGTGATTGAGTTTTAATTCAAGGAGGAACAAAAGGTGTTACGGCACCTGAGCTTCTCATTCCCACACAATATTTTAAACCAGCAGGAAGCAAAATTTTCCTGTGAATTTCTGGTTGATTGTTTGGTTTTGTTTAGCGCTAGCTTGATTTTATCAGTGAGCTTTGGCTTGTGTTCTTTCTCGTAAGCGAGAGAGGATAGTTTTATGCTTGGACATGTCTGCAACGGGCCCTAGTTTGTGTTATTGTTGTTAGTGTTTTGTTGGTTATGTCTGTTTTCGTTTTGTTACAGTGCACTGAGATAAGAAAATCTGAGAGGTGTGATCCACCGGTGGTGATATGTTGATATTTTGTGAGTTCATGATTTAACAATCAGCTCTTTAAACAAGGCCTGAAAGATTGAAATTTAAAGCGCTATAAAATATTATTACTGTAAACAGTTGCAAAGTGTGCTTCTCCATGATTGTAATTGGCTTGGGAGAAATTCACTTATAGGGAACACTGATCTAAAAGGATTG